CAAAGATGTTTCTCCAGTATTCTGTGATAAAGAACTGGTGTAAGTATTAATTTCAGAGAATGATGAGGAAAAGAAACAACCACCTTTTATTTGTAGTGATAAGAGCCTTAATTTTTTCCTTTGATGGATTTTGTTAGTGGGGTAGAACTGGAAAATTCATTTCTTATTGATTTCATGATTTTTTTTCCAGCACTGCAAATGGCCTTTTTGTTAAAATGAACTTTTTACCCTCTTCTTTCTTCCTGTTTCTCTATCTTGTTCTCTTTGAAACATTGTTAATTTCCCCTAAAGAGGGCCCAAACACTAGTCTGTCATTGTCACTGCCAGCAGATTATAATTTAAAGCCACAATTTCCTATTCCTCATGAACAAGGGTACGTTTAGAGTACTTAATTATTAGAAAGAAACACTGATGAACAAGGCTTAGCATGATTTATAGTGTTTTGGGTAGTGCAGAGGTTTCAGAAAAGATTGCTTTCATTGCTTTTATCATCTTTTGACCTGTGATAGTAACTTACTATTTAATATATTTCAAGGATGCATATTTACACATCACTTCTGGTTGTGTTCATGAAAAATTTCTGCACTTTGCGCTGAACAATTACTGTTACCAGTGCTGCTCTTTGGATTTATATCAACTGTGGGCACTGAGATAACTGCAGACAGAAGCTCTCTTTAAGAGGAAATATAACGTAATTCTGCTTTATAGGCTAGCTTAATAAAGGAGTTATTAATCAGGTTTGACATTTTACAGAGTAACTTCATATTCTTTTCAGCAGATCTGTCTTGTAATTCTAGCTGTTCTGTTTCCTCAGGGGAAGATTCTTAAGATTGAAATTAACAGAAGGCAGGACAGTTGCTCTTGATACCTTCCTGGTTAATATTTAAAATGTTGTGTGGAAAATACCTGTAGTTTAAGAGGAATTCAGTATATTCAACTCTTTTCTACATTTTGTTGTAAGCACAAACGGTACAGCCCACTTCCCTTCTTTTGATCAGACTAAACTTGTTGAGAGTTAGTTTTCTAGGTTATCCTGAAAAGTAGAATAAGGAACAGCAGAAACAAAATGATCCTGTTCATGGGATGAAAATATGATCTTGTTTGGGCTTCTGTTTTTTGGAGTGAGAGAGGAAATATGGTTTCACCAGTGAAGTCTTTCTGAATACAGAGTTCCTTTAGGTAGAGCTATTTATAGACTTACATAATTGGAGTAGAGGAGAAGTCCATTGTATTGCGTTTGGTAGGTGGTAGGAACACAAACGCTGTCATCCACATGAAGAAGAATAATGGCTTTAAATACAAAAATAAATGCCTTTATA